TGTACCTGTAACCAGGCAACAACAGTTATTTGGTCTAAATTTATTTTAAAATCTTTCATTAGAAATACATGACACAGTGTATGTGTATATTTTTCTGTCGATTTATGCAGAAACATGTCCTCTATTGAGCAACAAATTGAAGCAGGTTTGTTTTACATAACATTATATAATTTTTCTCCATTTTGTTTGTTTTCATTTAATTTTTGTGTTTTTATTTGTTTGTTTTTTTTCAGTTTTGTTCCTTAGTTTTATTTTCTACTCTTTTTTAAATTTGTGTTCCTATTCACCTATATACTTTAAAAAAAATTTAAAAGGATATATGTATAGTTCATTAAAGAAAACTTTTATTTTATGTTTCAGTGTAATGCAAACGTTACGTTAAATGTAACGTTACAGTAATAAAACGTTCGGAAAAATTGATTAAAAGTTTAAAATTGTTTCCATTCAAGTGTTTGAACAAGAAGTATCAAATGACCATTATTTTTTGCTTTGGATTATTTCATAATAAATTCTGAGGGTAAAGAACAATAATCAATAACATAAATCCTAAAAACAATTTCGAATCGTGTACAAGGTTAAAAAAAAAAATAGGGACCCCTGGGAATATCAAATAACTATGGGGAAAGAGCATACGTTCTAGTTGACCATTAAGTAATATAGTAAGTAAGTAAAACATCCAAGTATGAAACCTATGTAGCAGACTCTGTGGTGTCTGTTATTTCGAGTTCATGGGGATATTATTAGTTGTCCAGGTTCAATCAAGGGTGTAAGGGGATTTTATCCCAGGTTGTATTCATACACCCTGAGCCCGAAGGGATTTACAAAGAATTTATTTGGTTACTTATTCAATGGAGAAAATGGTTCACAGATAGTGTAGAACGAGCAATCGAATACTTCTACATATATATCTGTCCGCCATAAAATAGGGCCTAATATCCCTTGCATGCAGGTCTGGTAGAAGGACCCTACTGTCGCAATTGAAAATATATCTTTCCCCCAAATTTAAGGTAAAAATCACCAAATGACAAGTAGTGCTTTATATCAACAATATCGAATTCTAAAATTATGTTATAGTGTACATAGAGGATAAACCCACAAATGTACTGATGTACACAAAGGATAGACTCACAAATGTACTGATGTACACAAAGGATAGACCCACAAATGTACTGATGTACACAAAGGATAGACCCACAAATATACTGATGTACACAAAGGATAGACCCACAAATGTACTAATGTACACGAAGGATAGACCCACAAATGTACTAATGTACACGAAGGATAGACCCATAAATGTACTGATGTTCACGAAGGATAAACCCACAAATGTACTGATGTACACAAAGGATAGACCCATAAATGTACTGATGTACACAAAGGATAGACCCATAAATGTACTGATGTACACAAAGGATAGACCCATAAATGTACTGATGTACACAAAGGATAAACCCACAAATGTACTGATGTACACAAAGGATAGACCCACAAATGTACTGATGTACACAAAGGATAGACCTACAAATGTACTAATGTACACAAAGGACAGACCCACAAATGTACTGATGTACACAAAGGATAAACCAACAAATGTACTGATGTACACAAAGGATAGACCCACAAATGTACTGATGTACACAAAGGATAAACCCACAAATGTACTGATGTACACAAAGGATAGACTCACAAATGTACACAAAGGATAGATCCACAAATGTACTAATGTACACAAAGGATAGACCAACAAATGTACTAATGTACACAAAGGATAGACCCACAAATGTACTAATGTACACAAAGGATAGACCCACAAATTACTGATGTACACAAAGGATAACCCCACAAATGTACTGATGTACACAAAGGATAGACCCACAAAAATGAATGGAAACATGCATTCCAGAATGTGAAGCCATGGTAATAATGAGAAATAGAGCGGCTGAGGGCTTGTTTCCGTGGAATTGAGAATTGAACGCTTTTGATGATTAATTTGTTATTTCATGAAGTGTATGGATTATATATAAAATTGTTTTTGTTCTAAAACCTATTGTACTACAAGTGTATATATATGTATATGCGTAATTAATGTAATAGAAGTAGTGCAGTGCATACAGAAAACTGAAAAAAAGTATACACTGTACATGTATTCAATGCTTTGTGTTTGGATTTTACTTTCTGTCAGTTTCCGTAAAGAAGATGTTCTGAGATTTTTCTAAATAAAGATAATGATCAAGATTGTTTAAGAAGTATTTTCTCCACCACATCGTATAAACAAGATTATCATAATGGCATTTTTAAGGTAGATAGCGGGTTTACTGTCTGTCTGAAAACATACGCTGAAAATCTGTCCTTTCGTTTCAAATTTTTGAGATTCGTCTGCATGGTTATACTGTAATCGTAATTCAAATGCGCTAATGTTGATGAGAACAGGTGACGCTATTTCAATGAAATATATAGTAAAATGCGCCTTTCACGCCGGTATACGCATTTCAAAACCATGCTCATAATATTAAAATGAAGCAGACGAATTTTATTTTACTCAACACAATGAATGTGAAGTGAATTTAGAATGGATCTATTTTTAAAAAATGATATGTGTTCTGGCTCAATTTCTCGCAAAAAAAACTTTTAAGTTTTACAATTTTCCATCAAACGTATTATATTTTCATCATGACGTTATATTACGTTAGTGTGACGTCATTATTTTCGTATGCCTGCGCGGCCAGAAAAAAAATGAATTAACAATTCACTCAAAATCAAGCATGTACTCCGTAAATTCAATTTTTATTGATTGATGATAATGTTCATGTAAACATTGGCATAGTTTACCCACAGCGTGGCACTATTTCAATGAAAGGGGAGTCATTTTTTTTTCTCTCAATAAACTCAAGCAGTGCGGAAAAAATTAGAAAAAATCTAAATGTATATAAAAAAAGGCATCTAATCGGATTTGAAAGCATTTGCAAACCTATTTTAAATTATTGTTATCTATAATAAAATGTGCCAGATTTTAAATCGGAAATGTTACAATTAATTTAAAGTATAAATGGTCGAAGCTCAACTCATATGATTATAGATCATGTAGATAGAATTATGAACGTATGTATACACTCATACTTCATTGAATGAAATCACTTTGTCTATCACTGAATTAACAGACTTCAACTTTCCCTTCGACACGTTGTAAAGGCCTTCTTTTTCACATCTCCGAAGTGCCAATTTTAAATGACTTGCCTGCAAACCACGTGCTGCCAAAGTAGAGCTTTGTCCCTTTGTGACAACGTTTGAAGCTACCAGATCATGAAAACATCCTATATTTTTGTTCTTATTTGATAGCTTTTCGGTGTTCATGATGACAAAATCAGTAGAGAACACTAACTCGGTGAGTGACCCATCCGCTTTTGGAACGTGGAAAAGACTATGTAAAAGACCTACTTGATCTCAACATCGCCAACACGCCATTCCGGGGGGAGGGGATGTTTATGTTTTCATTTTGGGAATTTAAATCTGTATTTAATTGAAATAAACTAAACTCAAATAACATACTAGTAATTTACAAACTTGCTGCCAGTTTGGTGTTGATGTTAAAACAACCAACAGACTGGTCCTTTGCCATTTGTGTTGAGGCGTTTTCCTGTGGACACGGAATTCGTTTTGCCGCACTTCTGACATTCTATGTAGAGAATGGATGTCAATCCGTATTTTTTTCACCGGTGCAAGAGAGATGTAAGGGTTCATTGCAAAAACACACTCTTTCAACCAAGTTCTTTAACCTCGATATTCTTTTGTGAGACACAAACTTCCCCTTATATTTCATTGCGAAAAGGTTTTGACAGCGTTTTGATTGTAACGCAATTTTCTTTTTAAAAATTAATTGATTTTTAAATTCCGACAAAATGAATGACAATTATATATAATCAAAGAATGATGAATTATTGCGTTTTTGAAAAATAAAATTAATTTTAGCCTGCCTTTTCCAACATAAAGAAAACTCTTAATTAAATTATTGATCCAATTCCTTTATTTTTAATTACATATAAATGAATATTTTTACAGACCAAACAAGCTTTCTGTATATTTCATTTTACAGTGCATACTGCTAAGAGTTTGTAGTTTGATACTGTAAACGCGGTAAGTTTTAGAATACGTCGAATCCTATTGTGACGTCAGCAAACCCGCGATTTCATGATTATCACGCAAATAATACCTTTCATGAAGACGCTTACTGTTGGCCAATCCAATAGTTTTTCCATATAATGCATTTTTACAAAACTTAGATACATTTTATGAATTGGACAACCCTTCTGTACCAAGAAAAGGAATAACTTTTCGTTATCTTTAAATTTCCTTTGCAAGTTACATTACAAAATTATGGACCGATCGAATACAGTCTTACACTTCAAATCTTGTAACTTTCACTTTGTCTAATATTCCTACCTCTGTGCCAAGTATGGGCATCACAATGTTAACTGAACTCTTCCAACTGATTTTGTGTCATCCTCTTACCAACAGCTACATTCGTACCAAGTATATACTTCAAATGTCAATGACAAGTGAAAATGTTAGGACAGGCATTGAGGCGTACAGACAACCCAACAATATGCCCTCGATGGTTAGTCTAGAGTATATAAAAACAACCATTTTATGACTCTCATTGTCACCCTTTAACTTCAATGAAGTTAAAGATTGAGACAGAGACAAATTCATCCGAAATGAACATTGAGAAATATATCACATTAAACATCAATATATGACAATGTTCAATATCAATCATCCTTTGTAGGTATTTTAACGTTTTTTGACTTCAGTTTTACAGGCAGTGGTCTCATTCCAAGTAGTACAGAAAACACTTCAGACTTCAAATTAATGTAGTTTTAGCCGGAACAAACTAAGTAGGTACTTAAATAATTTCAATAAATTGAGCAACATTGTGCATCCTGTGTTAGCGTATTTTATGCCCTTCGGATAACCTGTAACCAGGCAGAGGCAGTTGTTTGATTTCAATTCATTTTAAATTCTTCTGTTAGAAATAAGTTTTGTCTATTCATGCAGTAGCATGTCCTCATTTCAGCAACAGAATGAAGCAGGTTTGTTTTTTATGATATTATATATGATGAACGATTTCTTATTTTATTTGTTTTTATACAATGTATATTCTTTTTTAGTGCTTGCTTCTATTTTTTTTTCTTTCTTTGATTTACATCCAACAGGTTTTTAAAAAGACATATACTGTATGTATACACATGAACCTCATTATAGAAAACTTTCTTTTCATGTATCAGTGCAACGCAAACGTGACGTCATAGAGTGATAAGCAAAACAAAAAGCATAGAATGAAAATTTGCTTTGCATTGTGTATAGAGGCACTTGACGTTGAATAAAAAATTCCATACTATTATAATAACGTCTTTATTATAATATGGATTTTTTATGAATAAAGAAAAATGTATAAAAAGTTAACTGTCCTTTGTTGTGTCATAATGAAAAACGGGAAGGTAACAATTTCATAAATCCTGTAACAATACAAATCCTGAACAAAATTAGGGAAAAAGTGGACTCACTGGAAACTTTTATTCTTTTTCAAAGTGCGTAATTTTGTCAAAGAGCGTTGCTATAATGCAGTCAATTTTGTCTTATACTTATGGACAGGAGGCTGGATTGACTGTTAATAGTTGCTACTGGGTTGTATGAATATCCAGACTTGTATCATGTTGTAAATTTTGAATTTACATGGTATGTCATTGATATACTTTCTCTCAAGAAATTTGAGAATATATATGAAATAGATGAAAAAATTGAAATAAACTTTCTTGAAAAAAATATTATGCACCCTGTTATATTAAAGAGAGGCCCTGGGACCATATCGCTGATCTATGCAACAATAGACAGCTATATTTTGGCCAAAGTAACTTTACAAAATCAAATACAACACAAAACAAAATTGTTTGAAATGCATAAATAATAATTCTTTATACATGTACCTCTTAATACTAATCTACGGAAGCCGGTAGGTGCCAGGTAGAAAAATATTTTATCTGGCGACCGGCAGAAAATTATTTGGCGGCCGCCAGATAAAATATTTTTTCTACCTGGCACCAACCGGCTTCAAATAACCTTTAAAAAAGAGCCATTTTTTCATGCTTATCAAATAACTATTAAAAAACCATCATATTATGCAGGAAAATTATTTGTAATGAGCTTACAAACTTGGACCCCATTTTCTTGCATTTCTCGTATATGTAGCCCTTAAGGTCATGTTTAAAAAAAAGAACTTGAAAATTTCAAATACAGCAAAAAGGTATAAGGAAGTCCTTAGTGCATATTGAGTTTTAGTTGTTTTAAAATTGAAAGTCCATTAATGTTCATTGTCATCATACCTACATTAGGCGTCGGAACGGGGGGGGGGGGGCTATGGGGCTTAGCCCCCCAAAGCTTTTTTTGCATAGAAAGGAATAATATAGGTATTTGCTAGAATATTGCATGACCAATCCGTGCACATTTTTTTTTTCAAACTGCGGTCGATATTAACGCAATTTGAAAAGAATTAATTTTTTTTTTCAAAATGCGTTAACTTTGTCCCAAATTTAACGCACTTTGAAAAAATTTTCAAATATCTGAACGTAACTGAATCGCATACCATGGTTAATCTCATACGGGAGTAGGAGGATATCTGGTTTATCTATCAATCTAGCTGTCTTTCTGTGAATAATTTGTCCCTTGAGCTCTTGAATGGAATGACTTCTAACTTGAGTATGTATTTGTCGATGATCCAAGGGTGTGTTATGGTAAGACTCAGGTCATACATGTATCTCGAAAAATACTACTACACAATTTGATAGTGAAAGTAGGAATATGTTGCAACGCTTCCATTTTGTTGTTTATGACTTTAACATTTGTTATGACTTCAACTCAAAGTTATAAAGGTCATTGTCACCGGGCATTGAGATATATTAAAATTGTGTCCAGGCAAAAACCTTTAAAATCCTTGGTTGGTAGATATTCAAACCTGAGTTTGTGTTACTGATAAGTCAGAGGTGTGTCATATTATTAACTGAATTCATACATCAAAGATCATGGTCTTGACTCTTGATCATATCTCAAAAGGTCAGAATCATGTCATAAAGGTTATTCAATCCTGGGCAAGTGTGTTTTTGGGAAGGGAGAGACATCTGTTTTTTTTTTCAAAAACAGCTAGTTTATGTATCCTATATCTCATTCAGAATTATTCCAAAGAATGTGCACTAAATTAACAATTCTTATTTATTTTAGAGAGTTCAGAAGCACAAGTTGCAAAATCTGAAGCAATACCAGAACATCTACAAGAAAGACGAGTCATCCTTATCGGAAAAATTGGAGCAGGTAAGAGCCATACCGGAAACGGAATATTAGGAAAACAGGTCTTCGAAAGTAAAAGATGTTGGTCATCTGTCACAAGGAAATGTGAATATGGTGTAGGGGTCAGAAATGGCTTTCTGTATCGAATATATGATACACCAGGAATGAATTCACCCAAAGATGTGGGAGAAGACGTAGAAACAGATATCAAACGATGTTTGTATTGTACATCTCCAGGATTTCATGCTATTGTTTTGGTTTTATCAGCAGCAGAACGAATAACAGCGGAAGATGTGAAAATGCTGAAACTTCTGGATAAACTGTTAGGAGAAAGTGCGTTTACGTATATGATCCTTGTTTTTTCAAAGTTAGAAAATGACGACATTCCACTAAAGGAAATGATGGCAGAGTCCACAGAAGTTGTTAAATTGAACGTAAAATGCAGTCGTAGATACGTCATATTTGGGGACAATAAAAAGGAAATACCTTCTGAATGTGTTAAAAAATTTGACGAAGTGCTTACAAACCTAATAAAGGAAAATTCTAGACGGGGAAAAGAATACTACACACATGATTACTACAAGAACGCAATCAGAATTCTTGAAAAAGATAAAAAAGATTACATGAAAGAAAATCCAGAAGTACCAGAGAGTGAAGCAATGGAAACAGTGAGAAATAGGGCGGCTGAGGGCTTGTCTCCGCGGGATGAAGAATTAAAAGGTTTAAAAAACTGTTGTGTCATCTCGTGAAATTGATTATGAATTGATATTATTTTACTTAATTTTTAAGTTAATGGAATTACAAGCGTAACTCTGGTTTTAGTACTGTCAGATTATAAGGACACAAGAAGAGCTGTAAAAAAGGAGAGAGATGTATATTGATGTTTCACTTGTATTGTTAATTTCTGCAATAAAATATTATGCAAAAAGGACATATTACTTTAAAATTATACAAGCATCATTATGTTCTACTTCGTTTCACTCATCCGAACATAAAATATTTCTATTCTAAGTATCTTAGAGAATAAACAACAGAACACAGATATAAAATGTGTTGAGCGCCTATCAACCAGTTTATTCGCCAAATATGTACATAAACACACAAATTTAATTAGCGATGCACTGGATGTAGACCCCAAGTATATCCAATTTCAATGTAACATGTCATAATTATACATCATTTTATCAATAATTTTAAAAAAGTGTTCAAAACCGGTTGATTAAATGCTCGTCGATGACCACTTTATGCCGGACCAACACTATATATACTATGACCTAACACCTACCCTTCAATGTACTTGCTCATATTAAAATAATTCAAACAAATACAACTAAAAGAAATTGATTTAATTGACCGATTCTTTTGGTAAAGTTTATTTGTTCGCCTCCGCCATTGCATGAACTTTGATGATAATCAAGCAATGGATGTCATTTTGCGGAGAGGGCGTTTATATAGGCATTACCTGTTTCCCAATTTATTGGGAATAAAATACATGTAATTATATACTTAAGGGCACCAAAGTCACTGATTTGGACCATAGCAGAAACTTACCTGCTTACCGGAACTCCTGTAGGATTACAGCCAGTCTGTTTGTGGACTTCGATGATAAATGTTATTAACCAGTATCTTAACAAAACCAAGTCTTTTATCCAGAAATGATTCTGAGAGGAAAAAATTAACAGACGGGTGGATGGAAAACGCCTAATGAGACACTATACATGTTGTAATATATTATTCATTTATCTTAATATCCGATTAATAGGTTTATAAGGATTACCACATCACTCTCTACTCGACTTATCACCCTTACAGAATTAAAAAAAAAATGAAAGCTATTGTGTGATAATAATTGAAAAATAATAATTTATTGATAAACTGCGTTTCATGTCATATTTAACTGCCATAAAAGCTCCTCCTATTTCACATTATGACAATTATTTATGCTCACGACGATTCTGCAATTAATTTTTTATACAGTGTGGCAACAAGTGACTTTGAAAACGCTCAACACTAGCCTGACCATGCCACTTAAATTTGTACATTGCTGCGAATAAAAGAGGTGCTTTTTGGTATTTATTGAATTGAGTTCAATGAAATGACTAACGTTTTATAAGAAGCCTCGTTCTGAGAATGACTTACGGTTTGTTAATTGATCTGATCTCTGATTGATAGTTCTGAATAATAGAAAAAAAATCTTATTTATCTATCATTAGTGTTTATTCCTTGAAAATGCAATTTAATTTCCCGATTGGTAAGGGGACAACCATCTGATTCTGACGGGGGGGGGGGGGCAGATTTTGGAAATAATCTGTCCTCGAAATGTTTAAAATAATCAATCTGTTCTCGACTGGCAAGAAAATAAATAATGTCCTTGACTTTTTCTTTCTTCTTTTTTTTTTCTTTTTTTGGGGTTGTCAATCAAACTTTTCTCAGATATCGAGAAGAAAGTAAATAATATATGTCCTTGATCATCTGGAAAATAAATAATCTGTCTTTGACTGGCATGAAAATAATAACCTGACTCGAACATTTTTGCCCCCCCCCCCCCCCCCCCGAATCAAATTGTCGTCTTATTAAATAAAATGTCGTTAATTCCCAATTTCATGGGTCCAGGCCCCATTCCCAAAATGGAGTGCAAAATCCCCGAGCGTATTCAAACAGCAAAAGTTGAATTTTAATCTCTTAAATCCAGTAAAGAATCGTGAACAGGGCAAAAAACCACAGACCCTTTGAAACACCAGAGGTTGGATCAGATATTTAGAAAGAGTAAGCATCCCGTGTCGACCGGTCACACCCACCGTGAGCCCTCCGTAGTCTGTATAAAAACAGTGTCCTTACAAAGGTGGGAAGCATGTCAGTCAAAACTTGCATGACCCAACAATAAGATGTCTTGCACTTTGCAAACAAATTCATTATAACAAAAATAGAATAGAATCAGCAAAATGCTAACTTTTAACGAGATGGATCATCAACTTATTTGTCAGTAGCCTGCATCGACATAAAAATTTATTGTACTCAGAACATACCCTTGCATATTGAATCTGTGTGGAGACATAAACAACTAAATTAGTTAAAATCTGGTAATTGTTTACATTGTTATTAAACAAAGAAAGCAGTATAAAATTGATACTCTGCTATCTTGAACGACCCTGTTCCTGAAATTTGCCCTTGGAAGTGTTTGTGTCCCTTAATTAAAGTTTGGTTGAATGATCCTGTTCCTGAAATTTTCCCTTGGAAGGGATTGTGTCCCTAAATAAGTTGTGATATCTTATGAACTTGATTACCTGAGTAATTCCTCATGTGTTAAAACTAAAAAGGCAAACAAATGCACTAGCTTCTTTAATTTGTATTTTTTTCACCCACTTACAAGTATAATATATATAAAAAACAACATGTCATATTTCAAATAACTAAAAGATTAACTAGTAGTAGAGGAAAATACTGAGCATTCAGACATTGTATTAAAACACCACAGAACCAATAACAGCATCTTGAAAGTGTGCACCTACTAGTACATGTGTATTATTAAATTAAAATGCCAGGTTTTATGATGGACTTGTTATATTAAAAGTAAAGTCAAACTCCTTGCAGTTATAAGAAATAACAGTGTACAGAATTGCTTTATACAGCTTTAATAATGCCGTATTTCATTTTCTCAATTTCAAATAATACTTCATATTTTTAATGTATATTTATTATAGATAGAAAGAAAAAACTACAGATTAAAATGCAGCAAAAACAGATTTTGTTAGAAAACCCCAAAACAGCCATGTGAGCAAATCCAGAACTACATGTATATACAGTAATGTCACTGCAGTTTTGTTTTTGATGTCTTCAAAATCGTGAAAACAAACAATGTTTGAGAAACATACATTACCCCCATGTGGCAACATTCAAGAGGGAACAACTTTAAATTTAGAATGTCTGTTATGGTGAAAACAATTAATCATCTACTTGTCTAGGGCAAATATAACACTGAGATTGATCTCTATCACATCTCAATATCATGGGAGGTAATGTGCTTCTTAAACTCTACAAGTGTACCAAAATTGATGTCTGTAAAGCAAACAGTTCTCAAGATACTAAGCTGACAGTATCTACCTTCATATAGTGTCTATGTCATTTGAAACTTGACCTTTGACCTTGTGACTGCAAAATAAACTAGGGTCATCTACTCCCTAGGGGTAGCCAGTGTACCAAGTTTGAAGTCTGTCAAGGACAGGGTTCTCGTGATATTGAGCGATCAATATCTCACTATGTCTTGTTTGACTCTTAACTTTGATCTTGTGATCTTAAAATCAATAGGGGCCATCTACTCCTTAAAGGGAACCAGTGTACGAAGTTTGATGTTTGTCAAGCAAATGATATTGAAAGGTCAAAATTTTCTATATTTGTGTAGTTTGACCCTTGACCTTTGGATTTCAAAATCAGTAGCGGTCATCTACTCCTCAGGGGACACCCATGTACCAATGCTGAGGTCTGTTAAGCAAAGGGTCCTCAAGATATTGAGCGGACAGAACTTTGTCAACTGACCGACCGACATACCAACTGACAGGTGCAAAGCAATGTGTCCCCTTTTACAAGGGGGGCATAATTATACTAACAATTAATGATTTAAAAATGAATAACAAATACATGTAAAAGGGTTATGTGAATAGGGTCTTTATGTAGAAAGCCAAAAATTATAATCAAAAACAAAACGAAAGCTGTACACAGTCTGCTGTAAATATAATTGCTTTGTTTGATCTCACATTAAAAAAAATTACTTTGGATTAGATGACATTTTCAAATGGTTTAAGTAACACTACAGAAAAATTGTTTTTGCAAAATAAAACACACTCAGATACAAAACTAACCCGAAGACCACCTTGTGTTTGATTAAGCTCAATGTTATAACTTAACAAACAGCTGAATTGATAAAATAATTATAAAGAACTGCTTTCCATATTTTTTGCAAACTAAATGAACCAAACACTTAAACAACAATGGATCCACTTAAAAAATTACGTAAAACATTTGCTCTTTAATGTGTAACAACCTGTATATTTTTTTTTATATCCTTGCAACAAAGCAGGAAATATAAACTAATAAAAATTATTTCCTTTTAGCATTGACAGCATATTGGCACAAGTTGGTAGAGAAACCTTAATTCACATTTTATCATGGACCAGTTTATGTCAAAATGGGAGTATAGAATGATAAAAGTTTACTTATTAGTTTTATTCAACTGATGTCTATCTATTGTCAATTAAAACTTACTTTTCCAAATTTGAACTAACAATTCTGAAAAAAAAAAAAATCAATGAAGAAGAAATGAACCATTTCCAGGCCTGCAATCACAGTGATCCGTGAATGAATGGTTTTACACGTAAAATCTTCACTAGATACAATCAATTCAAAGATAAAGAAGTATAGCTTTTTTCAAAAAGCATTGCCGTCTTCAGCAACATTCTTGAACTGTAAACTGACATACTCCTATCAGCTAGGCTGTATTATTTTTGAGTACTGTAGGTCTTGGCTATATACTTCAACAACTTTTTTTTACAGACATTAGCCCAGCCTACCATGTAACTAAAAGATAAAGAATAAACACACATTTCAATGTTTGCATGGAGAAAAAGAACTTTCTGTTACATGTAATCATAAAAATATAGAAAAAACTTATTAATTGTTGCTATAAAAAAAATTAAAGGGTTGGTTTCGTTTACTGCAATTTTATTTTGTTTATTTGTTGATTTTTTAAAGATTGAAATCTTGAAAAATTGTTGAGTCGTACTAAGAATTAGATCACCAGAAAATTATCTCCCTTGCCTAGCACAGCATTTCAATCAATGAATGCATTTTCTACCAATCACAGAAGAC